GTATAACAAGAATGTTTAATACGAAGAGTAATTTCACACTGCAATAAAGTTTACAAAAAGTTTGAGCTGAAGTTTTGTGTGCTTTGCTATGAGAGATTGCTGGTTTCCTAGGAAACATGTTGACCTGTCATCAGGTGATTTAAAAATTAAATGCTCGCACGTACAGAATGTGAAATATATTTAATTATATAAATTTAATTGAAGTTAATTATAAATATTGAAGTGTCGTTGTTTAAAAATTATATTCCATGTTAGGGGCGAGCGATTTGAAGATGTTTCGCGTGGTTATACGTGTAGGCGAGGAAAAATCAATAATGGACCATGCCATGATAATGTAAGCATGCTTTCTGCACGTAGTAGATGAGTCTAGCTAGTCCAGCTAGCTTCAAACACCAGCAAATAAAAACGTTACGATTATTTTAATTTATTTCAAGTAATAAATGTGTGGATTGTGTTATATTTTAGATGGAGTCATTAATTCTTGTGTACCTGTTCGGAGTACCTGTGTATGTATAACAGAATGACAGTGAGTACACTAATTCCTGCTGTTAAATAATATTTAACAAATCTCATTGTATCAATTATTATTATTTCCATTTTAGTTCAGTAGAAAAATTATAAAATGATTTTAACTTGACAATTTATTGATTTCTGTGTTTCAGATGAGTTGAGGAAATTGCTTTATTATTTAATAGACAGTTTATTTTGTGATGGAAGATAGTGGGATTGATAGTGACCCAAAGACCACTAATCATGTAGAGGATGAAAGGCTGTTCTTGGTAAATATTTTTAATTATTGTAGAAACGTAAATGAATCGAGTGGTTTAAAAATGTTATTTATTTTTAGGGGAGTGATAGCAGTAGCAGCAGTAATCAGACACAGATATCCCAACACAATTCGACTACCAAACAATTACAGAGGAAGCTTGGTATGGCAACATTTGGCTCAATTATTCTTAAATTGTATACCAAAGTATTGAATCTCATTTTTATTTTGGACAGAGGCGAGGATTGAACAAGCCAAACGTATTCAACGTAATTCAGATTATGTAAAGTTGCCAAAGTATGATAAGGGCAGTGGAGGTAGTAGTGCTGCTGCTGGTCTGATTCCAATCCAAAGGCTTCCCATACCTAATAAGAATAAGGAACATCTGCCTCTTGTTGAATACTGGCACAGTGATAGTGAAAGGTAATTCGAATCTATTCTGTAATACACTTCTGTGATACTCTATATTGAAGACTGTCATAAAGGTATGAAAAACAGTTTTATTGCATATTTATAATTTATTATTCTAGTGAAGGTGAAATGACTCTATTCCCTACAACGAAATCTAAGGATTCTTCAAAGCACAAACAAGACTTAACAGATACGTTCAGTGTGGAGGAAATGAGTGAGGAGAGTGAAGATTCGTTGAACCTAGGACCTGCTCAGGCATCACCAGAACTGAAATTCATGAAATCGTATGGATGTACTGGTGACTGCTTCCGTTGTCAGTGCCACATATTGTAATTAATTATATATATATATACACATGTATATGCCTCGAGTATGTTGAATATTAATTATTTTATACTAATTCTGTTCATTTAATTCAGAGTTTTATGCAGTCATGTAACTGAAGATCTTTTATATATTAAAAAAAAGCCAAATATATTAAATATCTGCAGCATATTTTATATAAATTTTATTTCCTCTTTCCAGAATTTCCAGAATTAATAAATGACTGCGAATTTTGTTGATAGACTTTTTATTTAAAATGAGGAAGACTCTGTAAAATTCTTTTTTTATTGAAATATACTAAAACCAATAAGCGTTGATAAACGACTATTGTCTTTGTAAGACAGTTAATTACAGGTTGAATTTAACGTCTGATTGTTACAGGCAGAGTGGTTTCAATTGTCTGTTGAAACATCGGCCTTATTTTACTTCTTATCCCGCGCGTTTAATGCGCCTTTATTCTTCAGTTTACGCGGTGGCGCTGGCTGGATTTCAGCGGGAATACAATGAGCAGAGATGCGTGGAAAGAAAACGGTATGTATTAACATAAGAAAGGGGGACTCCTAAATTTCAATAAATGTTGCGTGAATACAGAATCGGCTCGTGTAGCTCACCACTCGCTTCTACGCACCTACATAACTTTCAGTTACCAAACAAGTATTCAATTTTTATGTTATAAATAACCTAAAGATTGTGCCAGTAGAGGNACTTAAATATTCTATTTGCGTTCTTCATAATTATTGTTAATCAGCTGACAGAAGTGATATAAGGAAACGCAAATACGTGCGAAGGCAACACTAGGATAGACAGAAACCTCTATTGTCCTCCCTCCTAATATCAAGTTTTACCCCTTTGATTCGAGATTCGAAAACCGAGCGTTCCTGTCATGGTGGACAGATAGATCAGGACAGACCCGACTTTGTTCGTTCCGCTCTGACCATTACTCTCGAGGCTGGTCGTGTCGATAATTTTTAAGGTCGACGCGGTCCCTTGGAATATCGACGAGAAGTTGCAGCAATAGCGTCGGGGGACCGATGATCCTTTGGGTCCGGTAATAGGTAGCAGTCGATCGACCAGAGCTACGCCAGTGCATCGATCCCGTAACGGAGCTCGAACTTACGGTTCGCCTGCTGGCCCCGCGTACTCGAAACCCATCGCTTCCTGTACAAACGACTTTTTTTCTCCACCGGCTGGGTTTAATTAAATACCGGTAGACCGACCAGCGTCCGCGTCCTCTTCGCGGAGGGGTTACGTGACCGGACCCGGAGGAACATCGACGATAGGGAATTGCTGGTTACGAATTGGTTCATCCAGGAAGCTGGTTAAGAGCTTGCAACCATTTGTTAAGTAACATTCGTGTGGCATACTTGCAGTTTAGTAACGATGGGGGTTTGGGGGAGAGTAACTACCCTAATATTGCAGTAACGTTGCAAAAATGTACAACAAGATGGCAATATTGACGGTGACGTTAAGTTAGGTCAGACAGACGCACTGTTGGAATGTTGCAGCAACACTGTACGGTAATTGCAATGTGGAAGATACGTTGTTGCAATATTGAGTGCTATTGTGTTAGAACTATAGACTGACTTATTTATAAGCTATTCGCAAATCAGCAACTATAAAGAATTATAGTGAAACGCCTAAAACGTTCTGAACGAATCGATTGAACTTCAGGGGTCGTACGAGGACTAAAAAAGAATAAGAACGGTGGATGCAGGCACGTAATAATGGAACCTGTCCCCATGAATGAAGCCAGTGAAGTGACCGGCGACCACGTGACGGTTAACGTAAGCGCGCGAATTCGTACGAGGGGTACAGATGGCGCGGAGTGCGCGGAGCGGCTGCTAGAAACACCTGACCGGAGTCAAGCAGTGCGGCATGGGCTCGTGCGGCAGGCGCACACTTCTTTTAAAAGTGGCACCACGCGCGACCTGATCATTGTTTTTGTTGCCGTCGGCTCCAGTTACGCGAGTGACGACCAACGGTTTCGTGTGACACGGATCGATAGTACGAAAGGGATCCGCCGCTGGGTTTCACCGACCTCGAGCACCTCACCGGTCAACGGTTGCACCCGTTTTGCGCGCGCGGTCTTCCGTCACCGCGTAATTATGACAGCCGAGGCGACCCGCGTGGCGACCACCGCACACGTGCCCTTCGAGGGCCGACGTAGCTTCGTCGCTTCGGCTTGACTCATTATTTCAAATCACGTTTTCAATCGAAATTTCACATCAATGGGTTTCGCAAACCCGTACAGAAATAATTAAGTCTCGTATTTAGTGATATGCGAGGTCATTCGAACTCGTCGGTTTTGTTTTACGCGCTCGATAATCTCGAGCTGTACTCATCGAAGCGCCGCCGCCGTCGCCGCCGGCTGGGGAAGATGTGATCGGTTTTTCGTGGCCGGTTATTTCCGTTGGATCAAAATGACCGTGAACCGATCGGTGATTACGACGGTGTTCATGCTGGTGACCTACGTGATCGTGCTGGTTCATACGAAGGATGCGCCACTGGAGTACGACGACCCTACGGCCAACGAGACCGCGCGGCACCGCGATACAGGTTGGTCAATTCTACTTTTTTCATTACTGGTTCACATATTTCGCCCCTATAACGAAGCACAGCTAGTGATAATGAAACTGACTCAGCTAGGGTTTGTTTTCGTTTCCCCTAGGGGTGCAAAACTTAAAACAATGTCTAGTTTAATAACAATAAATAGTTTAAATGTAGTAATAATTAAATAAATATAGTAATAATAGTTTACAATGTCTAGTTTAATAATAATAAAGTTTGAGATATGGCATCGATTCTATTGGACTTTAATTTTGAGGTTTGAATTTTGTCCCCCTAGGGAAAATTAACAAAAACTCGAACTGGCTCAGTTTCATTCCTTTCCACTATTGTTTTATTTATACTATATTCTCATACTATTTTATATAATATATAATAATAATAGTAGTATTGAGTACTACTATAGTTTATTTAATAGAATTCTTACTAGCTGTACAGAAGCTCGGTTTAATATAACAGATTTAGGTCGCTTTAACTGAGACTGAAGTCTATAATTTGATTGAGATTTTCTTATATGATGTTTATATACAATATTGAAGAGCTTATGTAAATGGAATCCTAATTAGATGAAATATTTATTGATTGTATAAAGTATTTATTCTGAATTTAAGTTAACAAATTCAACAGACTGTATTTTACATTGTGTCAGTGTTTCTCTTCTCGATGTCACTTTTATACACGTCACGATTTGCATTGAATGTCGCTGTTCATTTAAATTATCGAAAGTGTGGCATTGCTTGCACAATAAGGCTGACTCTTCTCACTGACTCAACTGAGAATAATATTAGCAATCTCAATGACAGTCAGGCATACGTTTTATTAATACCACTTCATTAATTGTCTTCAGTATTTCTATATTAATTATTATATTATAATATTCAGGGTGGGTCAGAAATCATAGTGCAAAGGGTTGCATAATTATTTGATCGTCTTGAACAATGGAATTTCGTTAATTAATCGATTAGGGCGAGACACGACGTGGTTATTAAATTAGAAGAAGGTCGGATTGTCCGTAGCTACTCGGTTAGAATGTCAATTTCATTCTACCGCGGTTTCGACACATCCAAGTTACACCACATCCTGTATTGTCTCACACCGGCAGTCTGCGTGCACGAGGATCCTTAAGCAGAGAATTTCAATTTAATTATTGCCTGTTCCATTGCTCCTCGCTGGAACCAGCAAATAAAAATCGACACAAGCATTACTAAATTAATGTTAGTCTATGGAACGGTAGGAGGCGACGTGTCGATTTGCACGCTGGGCTCGTTGGCACGCGACAGTTCGCAGCGAATCGCGTTTCCGCGTTTCTAAGCGCATGCAAATTAGGCGATGGACGATGTCCAACGAGCAGCGATACTCAGATCGGTGCATTCTTTCGCGTGGGAAATTTTTCTAGGCGCGGTGAACGCGTTAGTCAGCGCTGACCCTTCCCTCAGAGGGTCAGCAAACTGTTATACAATAATCGAACTGGAATGCGAGATTATCATCAACTAAATTTATCATCTACTTATTTTAATTGAACAGGTTTTTACTATGCAATTTATGAAAAGAAGTTTAATAAAGTCTATGCTCGTGTTTCCGAGAGCTTAGGACTGGACACAGTTCAGTTTTTTATCTTTACCGCGTAGAAGGAGCTCGCTGCGATCCCCCACCACCTTCCTAGGGTCCTAGACTTTCGGGAAGCCGAGAGAAAAGAAGGCGCTGTCGCAAAGTAACTAACTGTACAAATTAGGCCTGTCCGTATAAGGCAAATGCACGCAATTAAAATTGAGAAGCGAAACAAGCGGCCGATTTCGCTATGAATTGCATAACCTTTGCTGAGGATGTGACTGTCGTGAATTATCGGTGATGCACCAGCGAGGACAATGAACCGTGATCGCAAACTGTGCATTGAATTATCATGATAGAAAACGAGATTCATCCTCACGTATCGAATCACGTTTTCACGTTACACGTCTTTTGATGAAGCTTGCAGTTCGGCATTGAGCGTGCAGAACGACTCCCATTCATGTAAAATCGTACAGGCTTGAAACGACTGGTCACGGGAATTTTGTGACACAGAAACCCCGAACGGAAATTGAATTTCCTCGTGAAAAGTAGGCGTGCGTTTGAAGATTACTTAGTTGGCAAATGCACAAGGCCTTACTCGGCGAACGTGTAATACTTTCACAGAAGCGTTAGAGCAAAGGTCATTCTTCCCCGGCAAATCAGCGACGACTAACAAAGTTCAAGCATTCACCGTCATTCGGAGTACAATCGCATTGGAAATAAGCACAATTGTTTAGAAATCTATGGTCCGACACGTCACAATACGAATAATAATAATAAATTTTGAGAAAAAGATGGCTTGTTATAATAAAAATCTAACATTCGACCTTGGCTGAAATTGCCTAAAGACGATGTTCGGTTTTATTGTGAAATAAACTACAACCGCAACAAACGCATCGGGTTTCTACTAATAAAAATGATAATGGTCTCGCCATATCCTCTCATCTGAAACGATTCGATAAC